ACATAAATCAGATCTTTCACTCGCATGACATTTTAGATCGCGTCTCTAGATCGCGTAGCAGCTCATAAAAGAATATGTGTGGGCGCGGCATTGTGAACACGTTTTATGAGTTGCGTCTAATATTGGCAGGAAAAGGAACCAATAAACGGATCGTCAGTAATAGAGCTAGCGTGCAATCAGCAGTCGATGACTATTGATTTAAGATTACGTTCCGACCAATCGTGAGAGAATTTCGCGATCTAGTCGACCTACTTGCGTACAAAATTCGGTATCCAGTTGCTATCGATTTGAATGCATCAGCAATTCTCCTTTATAAGCCCAGCTTCTTTTCATGAACGAAAAAGATTATTATTTTGGAAAGAAGGTATTCGACAAATATTCTCCGAGCATATACGAAAAAAATTCTGGTTGATAACGAATGAATCAGTAAGATTCTGATCGCATCGATCGGTCATCATAATTGGATATCTTTATTTTAACTAAAATTATAATAGGTTTAATCGGAAGGTTCTGATTTGTTCATTTTCAACTAGAAATTTTTCTCGGTGTGTATAATCTCGTAATTAGATTGCGAGATTTTATTTCATTGTTCCACAACACGCGGTGTAAAACTCTTTTCACTAATTAACGTTTCTAACGACATAAATGCAGCCACTCGTGCCGTGCTCCTCGGGGAGTCGATACAGCCGGTTGATTCTACTTGTCACGTAATGCATTTAATCGAGGCCGCCGTTACCCGCCGCTCGGGAAATCGACATTTTCTGCACGAACATATCTCTTCTGTCAGAAAAGGGTCCGATTCGAGGCGGAGGTGAAATCCCTTCCAATGATTTCTTCCTAATTGGAGAAGAGTACCATTTTCCAGTACGACGCGAGAATACATTTTTCCTTTAATATTTCAGACAGATTGTCTGTCTTTCATAAAATAGTACAGATTTCCTTCTTAACCTTTGTGTACCGTAATAATTCAACATTTTTATCGTATTTTAAACAGGAGAAATTTCATTTCACGCGGTTGGTTCCTTCTGCATAATTTCATTGAATCGACCCATTTAAAAATAGAGCCGTCGGCGCTTTCTCGCGCACGACGGGTTAGCCGTTACGTTAAAGGACCATTTATTTGCTCTACTCTCGACGCGGCACATACAAAAAACCGCAACCCCTCGCACCGACACCGGTCGTCCTTTTTTTTTCCGCTTCTTTCGGAGAATAACGTATATCGCGTTTTATTCAGAGGACCGCCGAAACTCTCGCGCGCGGTCCAGAGAGGATCGCGAGGATGATATTCGCGGTAGGTGCGGAGGATGTCGAGTATTGATTAAGGGGGTTTGCCGGGAGGAATCTCTCTCTCTTTCCTCACGGGTAGGTCGTCTGGCGTCGTTCCTCGCCGTAAATGCACGGGGATGAATGGGGCACGGTGGGGAACGCACGCACCGGGGTGCGTCTGCGCTCTGTGCGCCGCACGCAGTGCTCCGATGCGCTTCACCCGAACCGGGTATCCCACGGCTCACGGTTCCGTGTTCGCCGGGACAGTGGCGTGCACGTGGTTGTCTATCGGCGAGGACAGAAGGGGTGGAAAGCGGGATCAAGCGGACGAGGGAGAGACTCGGCAGCCCCGGAGGAATCGCGATGACGATTGACACGCTCGGCGCGTCGTTATCCACAGGCCACGAGTGTTGAGAGGGATTCGCTGTAGCGTAAGTAATCGCACGTTTTACATCCTCCTCGATTTCGGGAGACGACTGCGACAGCTCGAAAATTGAGTCTGCGTTATGTGTTAATTTTATTAATCATTATGCTTTATCTTTTAATTCTAGCAAAGTGTTGCTATATTAACATCATTATAATTATTATTATTGTTGGAAATTATTAGAAACTGTAAAAATTCCATATAAATATTAATAAGTATCAAGATTCGCTTTGACCGAATATAGCTTTCTTCGCTTATTTGTACACAGAACGGTTTTGCTGAAATATCTAAAAATTTAGTTAGATACAGATTTAAAAATAACTTTATTGAATCATCAATTATTATTATATATAGTAGAAATTTGAAGCATGTACTGCAAAAAGTTTTGACATATTCTAGCAACTAGTTTGAAAGTTTTATATAATAATAATTATTTTCATAGCTCGACAAAATTGTTTTCAGATCTGTATCTAGCTAAACTTTTAGCCTAGCGAAACAGTCCTTTTTCCATGTACTATTATTATTCTTGAAGAAGATGTAAGACCCGTTGTGACACTAAGTCAAGTCTTCACATAGCGAAGCCTATTTTGTATTCAGTTAGTTATGGCACAACTGTACTGTAGTCTCCTTCATTTCGTTCCTCTTGTAGATATAAATTTTTTTGAAAAATCAATTTTCCAAGAGTATGAAGCAACATTGAAAGCTTACTGAATCTAATTTTTAAACGAAAAGATCCTTTAGTTGAATTTTCGCTTGACTTTTGCCTATAAGATTTCTAATGACTACGAATGAAGATATTAATATGAAAATTTGTCGGTATTTCATAATATAGTTAATATTATACGTGCGGGCTCGACGAATCGATTTATGGGGTAGATTAGAGACCCTATAACAGAGTTTGACTACGACCGATTTTATCAAAATTCTACGAAAAAGGAAGGTATATATAATTTCTCTCTGTATATATACTATCTCACTCTAACTTGTACTGTCCGTTCCATAATTTTAAAGTTATAGAGTGAGTAATATATATACAGGGAGAAATTATATTATTAATCATTATTAGTGATTAATAATATAATTTCTATATTATAGCTTGTTATCATGCTTTCATGAGACGTTTTTTATAAAATTTTCACAAACGTAAAAATGATCAAACATCGGCTTTCCCCATCTTCGTACGTAAATCTGATTAAAAATATCTTATCAATCACGAAGATGAAGCTTTGAGAAATACGAATATTTATTTTGAAATAATTATCTTTGGCACATTCGGAAAATTTAGAGGTATTCAAAACTTTAGAAAATCTCGTAGGCACGTCTCGACAAGTTATAATTAATGATAATGGTAATTGAATGTCATAACTAAGTAAATGCTTTTCAGTGAATTTAATGTACTTTTAAAATATAACTTTAATTTTTAATATACCCGGTTTCTTTCAGAAAAAAACTGCTCTCTACGTTCTTGTGCTACTGACTATATCTTTCTTTTTCATAAGATTTTGATAAAATTGCTTTACTACAGACTCTGATATAGTTTCTAGGGTAGACGTTGTAAACAACATCCTAAGGACTAGTTTCACAACTTATTCTCAAGTCCAACTTGTTTCTCATTTCTTTTCAATTCTAGAATTGGAAAGAGATAATGCATAAGCTGGACCTCGATTAAGAGTTCCGTAACCGTGAGTTGTAAAACTGGACCTAAAAGCCTCTTTCACCAACCCTAGGTATCAATCATGAAACTTTTTTCCTAGGATGAAAAGTGAAAAATGAAAAATTACTCCATTAACTTCAATGGTTAAAATTTTCACTTTTCACTTTCCATCCTAGGAATAAAATTTAATGATTGATACCCTGATTAACGCTAATCGAAAGTTAACTCAATCACCACGATTGCCAACGTGAGAACTAAACACGGGGGGGGGGAGAGAGAGAGAGAGAGAGAGACACGTTCTATTATATTAAACTGCTGTTGGCATTTCTGCGGGTTGATCGTCGATTAATTTAACCAGAAGTTGGTGAAAGAGGTCCTAAGCCGGCATCCTGGCGTTGTGCGTTTTCATACGAGCGCCGCGCGTACAATAGTGGTCTGTTAGAGTCGATTCGTGAGCGTAACTGTGGTGGGGGTACAGATCTGCCGACGATATCTCCCTCTCTTTCCTTCGCGGGCTCGCTCTCTTGGAGCGCCGGCATCAAAGGGCTGCAGTCGTGATCGGATGATCGGCGAGTACGGATCGTCGTCGGTCGGAACACAAAGTGCTCTATTATTAATTTGGTTAGAGGGAGAGAGAGAGAGAGAGAGAGAAATAATCTCGGAGTAGTGAATTTGAGGAAGCTGAGAAATTTTGCATAAACACACAAGCGATCACGATGAGCGACATTCTTCGCAAGTATTCCTCAGGTAAGCACCCGGCTGATCTTACGATTGCGGAAAAGCATGATAGCGTTATTTGTGCCGCTTAAGAAGAATCTATTTATTGACATTTGACAAGTGCGTCCGGAATTAATTACAATAAGCGTGTCGTCAGGATGACAGTAATACTTTAGAAATAATCAATTGAATTGTTGTCGTGCAAAGAATCGGCATGCAGAAACGTGAAACTTCTTTATAATTTTCGGTGATATTTTACAATTATTTTTGGAATATAGATTTGATTTTTGGAATTGTGCGGGATTTAAGTTTGGAAAATATTCAATGATTTAGTCGAATATATGTTTCGCTATCTAATGTAAATTATTGGAGGAATGTATATCAGTGAATTTATCGAAATATAATCAGTAATTATATAGAAAAGATAATTTACGTATCATTAATATTGAATATTTCTTATATATTTTGTATATCATTATGGTATAAACTTCTACGTATTACTCTGTATTATTGAGATGAAACATCTTAAGGTTAATTCTGACATGATTACTGACGACATTTCTGTTGTATGTCAACAGAATACTTAATTAATTTAATACGCGAATTAATATAAATTAATATTAATTTAATACGTAGATTATTATAAATTAATAATTAATATTATAATTAATAAATTCATATTAATATTATAATTAATATAAATTTGTCACACCAGATTCTATGTATAGATTAGTTTCGAATCTATCCTATTATCGCTTTTGCATATCGCGAGAAAATTGAATTTTCCAAGCGAGAATAAATGATGAAAATTGATTCTATTGATAACATATATTTTAATTAAATTGTCTGTAAACATGGAAAGATGAGATTCCAATATGATTTATGTCAGAAAATGTATTTGTGATATAGATTTTAATGTACAGATGGAAAGGGTGTGACGTATATTTTTCAAATAATAACTTTCGTCATATGTTTCTTATTTTGAAAACGAGAGCTGTAAACTACTTATTCGCTCACGACCTTATCAATTGTTTGAGAAAGTGAGGGTCGATATGCTTCATTAACTTTTAACGAGTGTGTGTATTGTTACACACTTATATATATATTCTCCTCTACAGAGCTAATTACATCGAGTATGACGTTCATTATTCACCGCAGTCAGTTTATTACTTCAAGAATAGAAGTGGAAATAATGTTCTGTGACATGTGTATTAAGACGCCATTCAAAATACGCTGAAAAAACATTCGGGTTCTATTTAGACATCATAGATACTTTCTCTTGATTTTTTTATGGAATACAAAATTGTACTTTCAATCAAAATTAAAAGGATTGCGATCATTGCTCCCAATTTCTCAATTTTTAACATCTTGACAATTAAATCAAAATTAAATTGTTTAATTAAATTAAATTGCCTTAAAGGCAATTTAAAATTATTAGGAGAATAAATCTTTTTTTATTTTTCTTTTCAATTTTTAGGTTGGATTTGTTAAATCTTTGCTGATTATAATAAATAATTTCACATTAATACATTAATATTAAAACTTCCATTTTCTCAAAAATTATTATCAGATTTTGGAAAAAGGTTGCTATTTTGGATACTTCATATTTCTAAAATCTTCGTTAATTAATCGTCGCGATTGCGATGGAAGTTTTAGTCTTCTACCGATCGCCTTCCACACACATACTGTTCTCTTTCTTTCTCACGACACTTTGACGAATGAGTGGCAGGCTCTCTCGCAGAACGAAGCTTAAATGACATATCTCGGTGTGTACGCACCGCGACATGAAGTCATTAAAGAATTTCTAAGGCGTCGGGCAACGGCCTGCCTTTACCAAGCTCATTATCTGAACATTACAACTGAGAGTATATCTGCTATTGTATTTTGTATGTATGCACGTTGCGACTCTTCTCCGTTGTGCTCTCGCCGCAATTAAGCCTGCCCTTAAAAAAAACGTGTGACGCTCGTTTCTGAGAAGTGAGATATCTATAATAATAGTAACGGCGATTGGTGCTCGGTTAACTATAAACGCTTGGCAATTCACGCTATTGTTAAATTAGACAATAAAAAAGAAGATAAATTGGAAAGTTTATTGATCGAAAATTTAGATAATTAAAATCTAAGGGTGGGCTATATGTTCATTGTATTAACATTTGTTATTATTGACGGCTTCACAATTCCGTGCACGGGCAGTTTTTGCTGAAGTACCTAAAAAGTCAATTAGATACAGAAAAAAAATGATTTTGTTGACCTTCAAAATAATTATGTAGAACACTTAATTGCTAAAATTATAACTTTTTGCAGTATATATTATATTCAGTATGTCTAAGATTCCTACGTAATTATTTTGATACAACAAAATTGTTTTCTAATTAAATACTTCGAATTAATTACTTCAGCAAAATCGTTTTTTTTTTTTTTTCGTGAAAACAGTTTTTTTTTTTTTTATAAGCAAAGTCTATTTTAAACAGTATTTTCTTTATGCAAGACGCTCATTGTCGCGAATCTGTTCAAACGCATTAAGCGCCGTCATTATCTCGTAATAGTTGGTAATAAACGTAATAATATTACTAAGTGCGAAACCCGATGGTATCAACGTGACGGCGATAATACCGAAGGCGCGAAAACGTGCCAGA